TAAGTTCGAGATATTGTAATGCTGCCAATAATACAATATCTTGAATAAAAATATGCAAAGAAGGATTTCATGTCCCATTCACTGACATTGTCCAGTATCCAGCCTCCGGGCGTTCACCTTCGGTGCTGGACCATGCGGAAGTATTTGTCGGTTATCGAGACATTTTTTTTTATTTCAACTGGAGCAAGGGCGGCTTACATCCCGCATTATGGGCCAGATTTATTTCAAACATTGACTACTATTCTTGTTACCAGAAGTTTTACAATTAGCCATAAATTTCCGACCGCCATTTTGTCTAAGCACGTTTTGCCACACATGGTTCCCGTCCAAAAGAGGTATCTTCAGAGTATTTTGTGATGCCCATGGTATTATTAATATAGCACGTTTATATGTAACTGTTATCACGCTCCATTAGGTCAGCTTGTTTCCCATATCACATTGCATAAAAAATAATCTATCTATTATTTAGTAAATAAAATATTTTTCATAGTAAATTTACGTAAAGTATTATTTCTCACGTAGTATTTCTGTAATAGTGATACACTATCACAGAAATACAGTGTATATAAATAAAAGTTTAAATGTGTGAAGTAATAATTTATCAAGTTTACGGAGGCTATTTATAGCTGTGTTTTTATTAGAAAGTACTGTTGTTGTGTTTTACTTGTTAGGTTGTGTGCACATTTGTATATAAAATAATAAGGTAATAAATTTAAACAATTTTTTTTTTATGTAACTATATAAATCGCTTAACAAGTTTTTATATCGTGAGTAAAAATTTTGTATATATTGTTTTATATTTTTAATTTACTCATAAAATGTGTTATATATAAAATGTATATATATATATATATATATATATATATATATATATATATATATATATATATATATATATATATATATATATATATATATATATATATATATATATATATATATATAGCTTATCCAGGACGATTCTCAGGCGTCGTTTCTCTAAATCTATCTCTAAAATTTAAATTCAATATTATAAAAAAATCTTTATTTTAAGCATCAATATGAACTAATTTTCTAATAGAATTAAGTTAAATTTTAGTTTATGATGGTCTATAAAACAGTAATTTTGCAAAATTATCAAATTAAAATAGAAGATTAGTTTTAGAAAAATGGCACCTCTGAATCAGTCCCGTTATCTTCTATATTTTGGAATCGTAATTTCCAAACGAATGGTTCGATTTACTTAGTAGGGACTTGTGAAATAAGTTTTCACAAGTCCATGGCAGGGCAAGGCATGTTCAGAAATTGTCGAAATTATTTTACATGTAGTTGAATATAGAAAGACGTGTTCGAGTTCACACATTGGTAAAAAAATCTTAGTATAAGTGTGTACAAGCTTTTGTTTTATATGGACTTACAGATCTTATGCCTTAATTTGCAGCGTGTATCTATGTACAGTGTAATTATGTGAGTGGTGAATGAACGCCACCACGATGTATGTATGATTTTTAATAGGTGAAAATGAAATAATGACCAGCTGCACTATCGGTATATATTGGCAGGGCACCAGTGAACGGTGATAGGTGAGGACGAAACAGGTTAGTTTTTTTATACAAACTTAGAATGGCAAACAAGCTGACGGCCCACCTGATGGAAAGTGGTAACCGTCGCCTATAGACATGAGCAGTACCATGGACATAACAGAGTATTCTGTTTCGCCCATGATACCCCCCATACGCTGCTATTCCTGAGGACTAAGGTGTTATTCCTCTGTACCCAGTAAAATCACGCCATATCCCACCTTTCAAACCAAAACACAGCCATGCAAACACAGCTGCTTCACGGTTGAAACACGAATGGGACAGAGGTACCCAAGCAATCGACTTTTGTACAAAGTCTCCCTCTGGTTAAGCTGGCTCAGGGCGTTGAATTAAACAATTAATTAACCACAATGATTTCCACACAGTTAGACCCCATTACTAATAATTCCTCCCTCCACTAACGATGTTTGTATACATGTATTGTAGGTACATGTGAATTTATAAAAAAAAAATTGTGTAGTTCTTTTACTATTGGACCATGAAAGGCAAGGCAAATAAATTAACGACATAATTTTATGTAACGACATATTAAAACTTAGTGTATTATTTAAACAATGCGACATAAAGTAACAATAAAATTAATAATGGCCGTTATAACAAATAATCAACATTACTGGTCCATAGAAAGAGACTCATATTCCTTTAGTAAAATAAAGCTCATATGCAAAAGCTTTACTTAGCGAGCTTTAAAAAGGGCTATACTTGGAGTTTTCTCGCTCAATATAATTCGAAATGCGGAATTCCGTAAAAATACCAAAGTGACCGACATGGCCTGAAGGATAAACACACTGAAGCGACAATGGGATGGTCACATTGTTCAAAGAACCGACCACCGATGGGAAAGAATTGTTCTTGAGTGGCGACCACGTATAGGCAAACGCAGTGTAGGACGACCCCTACTAGATGGAGTGATGACCTCAAATGCATTGCAAAGAATCAGTGGGTGCAGTTGGCTCGGGTGTGTTCCTTATGGCTGTCTATGGGCATATGTTCAGCAGTGGACAGATAACGCTGATATGATGATGGTGATTCCTTTAGTAATCGTTATGGATATTTATTTTTATACAAAGTCAGCAGTAAGTATAGTCAGCATTAAAACTAGATGAACATCAACCGATTTTTAAAATTAGTAATTACCGACGAGTATATTAGAACTCAAAAAGATTCCACGATTGTATAAAATTGTTTAAAGTCAAAATTAATAGAATATGCACAATGGCATGTGTTTGCTATGAAATATAAGAGTTTTGAAAATGATACTGTGTTCATTGACTTTTGGTGCTGACCGTACATAGATCTACGATAATATATCTTATATCGATTCAATAGTATCGGTTGCTGATAAGTAAACGATACATTATGACAGTAATATCAATACAAGTTAACTATCAAGTACGGTTAGTAGTATAAACGAAAGACGCTAGATTTCTTCATAAGATGATCTGTATTTATTGTATTCGCAAATGGGTTCCGCATGCTAGAACGATTACACAACTGTTTGTTGATATGACCAACACGAGTGTGTTATGTGATGAGGCAGTTTGTCTACGTGCAGTGTTCCGTAGCCTAAATAGAGTAGGTAATACGTATAGAATTAATTAATATTGTCCAACTTTTGAAGAAAAAGTGAAAAAATGGTTGTTTTTTTAACTTCATTTAGATCGTGTTTGTGTAAGCATTGCGTTGAAAGTAATAGAGGGATTTTAATAGAATTTTCAAAGACGTATTTCAACTGTACTGCTCAACTCAAACAGAAATCTCTATAAGATTCAAAATTTAAATTACAGAATAAAAAAGAACTCTCGCAGATGTCACGGCCAACGACTTATTACAACATAGATTAGGAAGTACTTAGGTAAAAATGAATGCAACTGCATTGATTGACATTTAATGTAATATTATTAAAATCGTAATGAAAACACTGTGTTTTTATTGATAATTGATTATTTGTAAACAGATTCACATGTTTGTGGTGCTTTTGCCTAAAAATGATCGGCATGAGTAGCCTTTTGCTTGCAATTTGTCCGCCTAAATTTTGAAAGTAGGTATCCATTCTATGTTAAGATTACATATACGTTAAATTTTAGACTTTAGGAATATAACTACGGAAACCGTATTCAATTTGATACAATATTTTTTTTGGATCACTTTTTTGAGGTAATTATACTTATAAAATCGCTCGTCCTGATTGACTATCAACACACAGCTGAAGCTACTTAGTCTAGAAAGCGGAAATTTGGAAAATAGGTTTATTTTATAAAGTATTTTAGGGTGATATGTTTTTGACAACCTAAATATATAATTTTTCCTTTATATAAAAAATATTAATAATTTTCAAAACAATTTCTTTCCATTACGCTTATATTTAATTGTTTCTCGCAGATAAAATAATATTTTATGTTTTAATTGAATCTATGTTACGTTACCTATATTTTTGTTGTTATCTGTTTGATAAATTTTATGATTTTATATATTTTATTTAAAATTATCTATGCATTAATTAAAACATTTGTACAAAGGTTCACAATTAAATTATTACTAACTTTTACCCGTGACTTTGTCCGCGTGACCATATAAACATACCCTGTTTACTAATCAGGATAAAAGTAGCCTATACTCATTTCCATCTCATATAGTACATGTATACCAAATTTCATAGTGATTGGTTAAGCCGACAAGGCGCTATAAGGTAAAGAAAAAACGTACTCACTTTCACATTTATAATATTAATAAGGATTAGAATAGGTATAGTAATACCTTCTTCAAATCGTGTTACGGTTTTTGTGTAAATAAATAATTAATTTGTATTTTCCCATAGCATCTAAATCTTTAAAACAAATGTTGACTAATGGGTTTTTGGACTACAAATGGGTTTTGAATATTTTATATACAGTTACGTGTCACGGGATGTGGTCGTTTAAAATGATTGTATGACGCATAACAAAATAAAAGGAATAATTTTGTAAAATAATAATAAATGTTAAAATGTCTACGTCTGTACTTTTAGTTTACCGTTTTCATTTTAGTTTTATTTTTAGGGACTTAGTCTTTAAAATTTTGCAATTTTTATTTATTTAACTTTCATGTATGTAATAGTGTACCTTTCATGGCGGATATAACACCAAAACCCATAATTATATTTTAAGATTTATATACATATATTCGTATAAGCAAATTTAAATATTTTACTCAAAATATTATACATTACATAATAAAACTGTAACGATATCGTTTTTGAATATTTTTTAAATGGTAATGGCACCTGGTAGTTATAGACAACTACGCATAGATGTCAAAACATATATTTTTTACTGTCTGAGCTTATAATAAGCTTGAACTGTTGGACAAATTTAGTTTAGATTTTCGGGGACCGTTCGAATCCCAGCCTCCGATATGTCCAGCAAGGAATTAGTGGCGGCAGCACTACCCGCGCTGTGCCAATGACGGAGGTCGCGGTCTGTCCTATATAACGACAACACACCGCCGATCAGCTTACAACCCGACTCACGCGCAAACCGCCAACATCCACCAACTCCCCAACCAGTACGTACAAAATCACAATCGAACGGTCAAGGTCACAAATGTGTTACCTACCACATTTTTTTTTCTCTAAATAATTATTACGTGCAACGTTCGTATGGCGGGCGACATTGGTTGCAATTGTACCACCACCATTCGTTTGGTTGCAGCTGGTGCGGCCAAGTTTTACGAGCGCGTCAGTCTGCGCGTACGCACCGCTCGGGCTCAGCAGCGCCCCCTAGTGATACAGTGACAGTGCCTGTAACGTTCGAGATATCAAGCAACATGAATAGCTACGTCAAAATCGTAAGTTCATTATCATGCCAATACAAAAGTTAAGTTATAAATCGGAAAAATAAAGTACGGCTCTAATTTGAAATGAACTGAATTCTAATTTAAAGTAAGTAATTGTTTAGTATGTAAATTTTGAATAGATAAATAACTTTTTAAAATTTATTAAAAATGGGAGAATATGTGAATTTGTATATTATACAAATTAATAAACAATTGTTTCGTATAAACTTGTCCTCGGACATGGATCGCGATACAATGTAATGTGCAATAAAATTCCATAAATGGCATTTCCCACAGAGGTCTCTGATTAGATTGACAAGAGGTGATAACAAAAATTAAACGTGACAATGTATACATTATTAAGTAAATAGGTAAAATATAGTTTTATCAACGTCTATTAAATCTTATTATAATAGGGTTTTGTTTTGTTTGATTAGATATTATAAATTTCTATAATTTACAAATGAGTGATTAGGTATACGAGTATATTATTATTATAAAAATAAGTATAACGTATAATCAGTCGTCATAATATACATACATACTCATAATTTGAAATGGAGAAGGACATACACTACTTTTTACACAATTGCTCAAAAAAATAGTGTAATGTTCACGTAAGTATGTGAGTTTTTATTCTACTATTAATTTTAAATTCTTGACCAGATTTGGATGTATGGAATATCGTTATAATCTTTATATCCTAGATGACACTGGCTATATTTTTTTTATATAATTCGGTTTTGATAGAAGACAGTCGTGTTTTTTAGTTTGCGAATTAAAAAGTACTTTTTATTACAGTCAATCAATGTATTTTGGTCATTGTTTCTATTATGTAACCAAGTTTTGTTGATTACTCATGTTAAAATTAATATAAAGAATTATAGTGAATAAAAAAAAAATTGTCTATAATTTACGTTCATAATGAGCGCAGTGAAGTGGTAATACATTCACCTCAGGAACATATTCAATTTAATATAACGTACAACACATAAATCGAGCAGTGTAATTGAAAATTCCTTCAAAGCATTTTATATAAATAGCATTGCCTGGATTTCTATAATATATATCAAATTAGATGAAGTAGGTACTTTTGTTTTTAGATAAAAGGCTTATTATAGGTAACAGTATCAATTGATAGATATTAATCAGTAAAGTAACAGTTTTATTACGGATTTCCTAGTTTTGACATTGTTTATAATCGATCGAGTTACAAAGGAAATAGGTCAAAAATATGAACGAGTAAATTTATAGTGGTGGTGGGGGGGGGGGGAAGTGATTGTTAGTAATGCGGACTACCAGTCCCATTGCCAGTAATATATCCTTTCAGACCTCCAAGTGATCCCTTCTGATCCCCCAAATTCATCACGATGGGCTAACGGATCTACCGTTTCATTCCACCTATCATCCCTCACTAGTGCCCTATCAGTGTATACCGTAAGCGCGGGCATAGTTACCATTCCATTGTCATCCATTAAAATAAATTCTTAATGGGGTATTCAAAGGCATCCGCTTTCTGTTAGCATTGTGGTGAACGTAACACTCTACATGCACAAACTTCGCCAAACATAAGTATTAGTCGTCACTCGGATTCATTTAATTTGTTATCGGTGTTTTCAATTACCGGTGAGTCAATCGGAAATTTAAATTGCCACATTAGCCTATGGACGACTGCAGCATCATGTTACGGGATGTTACGTGTGCGTTGTTGATCCTGAAGAAACAGCCGAACACAGGGTTGGGGGGGGGGGGAACATCAATTGTTAGTAATGGAGTCTAACAGCCCATTATTAGCAATATACATTAACAGTTCGACCTCCACGTGATTCTCTCTGGAAGTTATTGTGTTTAATTATCGATAAATTCGTCATGATGGCCTAACTGACCTGCTATCATTTTCACCTATTAACTCTTACTCGTGCCATCGTATACTGATAGCGCAGACAGAGATGCCATTTCATTTACAACTATTAAAAAACCACCCCGCACACACACATACACCGCACGCACGTACGCACGCACCCACGCACGCACATGAGCACGCACACACGCACGCACACACACATATAGTGTGTGTATCTGTGTGTTATTATAATTATTAGTATAAACGTTTACTAGAATTAGGAGTGTTGTGAAAAATCAAAGAGTTTATTTTTTGCTTTGAAATGCATTCAATGAGTTTTACTTATAATAATAACGTTACTCAATGGAGTGTCGAATTAAATGTTCGCAACAGTAAATGTAGCGCATCGCGTTATATAGGTAGCATCTACTTAAACGAAAGTATCTATATTTATAACGTAATTTGGTTTGTGTATGTATAATTGTGAAATGCTTAACTAATCTATATACAAGTTAACATTTCATAAACAAACAAACTATATTTTGTATATTAATGTCTATACATTGTCTTATTCTTGACAAAATACTTCTTTTAATCATGTATAAATGTTCAAATTATAAAATTGGAATGCACTTAGCAGAGTTTGTCTGTTGAAAAGGTAGACTTTTTCATTAACTATCTAAAATAATTAAGTGGATATTATTAATAAGTGGTATTACTTCAATCAGTTATATAAGTAAACTAAATAAAAATAGAGATCGATCGAAACGTCATAAACGGCCTTGATTGTTGAAAATATCATCGACTTATTATATCACTTAGAGTAGATAGATACATAATAGGCAATATTTATAGAATCAGATAGCTATGTCTATATTTCAAATTGTACGCAAAAATATCTTTTTCGTGGGTATCGTAAGACGAATAGAACTTAATGATCGAGGGATGGGTAGCAGCGTCCCAGGGCAAAACATCATCAAAGCCCAATTGCCAACCCGCCTGCTAAGTGTGGCAACTACTAGCAAAACACCCCTTTTGGGGAAGGTCTATGTTCAGCAGTAGATAGTTAACGGGTGACATAATAATATTTAACACAAAAATATACAAGGAAATTAAAATACAGGTAATTGGCATCATTTTAAAGTAGTGTTCTATATATGAAGTTGAACATTTTGCCTTATATGCTGGAAAATTCTGAAAAAAAGCTTCAATATTCCGAAAGCTAACTTTAGATAACACTCAACATTTTTTATCGTTTTCAGCGTATATTTCTTTGAGAAAAATATTTAGTTGCTCTTAAAAAGATGTTATCGATTTCGGTTTCACTCTGTATATAAAACTAGCTGTATTCCGCGACTTCTTCTGTGTAAATTAGTACAAAAAATACTCTATCTGCTAAATTAGGATATGGTCTATACGTGTTATAAATTTTATTAAAATCCGTTCAGTAGTTTTGCCATGAAAGAGTAACAAACATCCATCAATTAAACGTTACAAGTTTTCGCAATTATAAATATTAATAGGATTATCTCATTTAAAATAGTGCGTTTATTACAAAGAGAACGCAATACATACTTGATCAGGTTACAGTGTAACGATGTGTAAAATGTAATCAATGAAATTTTCATATAATGTTTCTATTTACCAATGTTCGGGTCGACCGGATACTTGACGGCCCGAGAAATATTTATTAGAGCGGATTAGATCATAATTGTCTAACGTAATGTTGTATAGTTCAATATTCATTAGACATAATAATGCCGATTTTTTAATAAGCTAGTTTAGCGTATAATACATATTTTGCCTCGTTAATTTGATTATTTCATTATCAAATTATCCATCGATTATCATCCTTGGCGAGATAGATTTTGGGTTGAGTTTAGATGAATAGGGTTGAAAGTCACAGATTGATTTGAGGGGTACAATTAAAATTTTTATTAGAAAAATCCCTTTATTTTTGAACTATGACTGTAATAGTCATTGTAATAGACAATGTACATTAAAATATTAATGACATGTATAATGAACGACGTGTAAATTTTCTCCATTTATTATTTACTACAGACAAGGATATATTTTAACTAAAAGTAAAAAAAAAAAAAAAATTCAAAATCGATCCACAATTGATGGAGTAGTCAGTAATAATACATAAAAAAATGCAGAATCTCTTACTTTTATGGCAAAAAACATTGATATGAAAGTAACAGTGAATAAAACCCTGTAGTTAACGAGTTGTTATAAACACGCACTGCAAAGAAAAAAAAAAAACAAATATAAAATGAACAAGCAAAAACACTAAAAGACCTAGATGTTATGGCGGATGTATGTATGGGAGAGAAAGACGATTGGGAACGGTCCAAGGTGATTCGTCCACTTACAGTAGAATGTTAGTGACGGATTGTTGATAGCCGATCATCTGACTCGGGTCGTTCATACGATTAATACAAGTCTTACAAGTTCAACTGATGTAAGATCCAAAAAATGCGTGACCAGCTATAAATCAATTAAACTAATAAATTAATTAACTTATAAGCAATTTGTATTATTTCGTATTTAATGAAGATTTTTCAACATATTCAACATAAAGTGTTTTATTTGGCTAGATAGTTTCTTATTTTCTTTGTTAGAGAGCGTTAGTTTAAAATAATTCTTTTATTTGTTTTTATTATTATAATTATTATCTATGTATGCTTTTGTCGCGTCCTTATTACATATATTTGCATATTCTTCATCACTATATGTATGATTATTCTTTTCCATTTTTCCATTTAATTACATCATTATTTTGTTATATATATGATCCAGTAATATTACATCATCGTCATCATCATATCAGCCGTTAACTGTCTTTTCTGAACATAGGCCTTTCAATAAGGGAGGATTTGCCAGTAGTTGTCAGGCTTGGCAGGCGAGTTGGTAACTGCAGTTAGGTCTTGATGATGCGTTAGAGGATTACTGCTATGTGATAAGAGGTCACTAAAGGAATGTAATATTCGAAAGATGAACCTTCGATCATTACATTCTCTTAGTCGCCTTTTAAGACATCCACAATATTTTATGTTATATACGTAATAATACATATATTATAAAATTTAATTTCATTTTTGTATCCAAAAAGTAATCAATAATATTTTTAACATAATTCAGCTAGAGTCAATAGAGAAATCGC